TTGTGTGTAATTTGACTACCTAGTAGCGATCTGGAGGGAATGGGCATCGTGGTTTATTGGACTTCTTTACAACCTTCTGCCTAGCAGCCCATTTCAATTGAGACGTGAGGGGCGACAGCAAATACAACCGTTTATTAGCACCAGAACAACCAAGCGTGTATTTGGGTTGAGGGACGTGAGAGTACTTATTGATAATCAACAGAAACCAGTTAACAAACGGGTTTTGCTGAAACCAATCAGACCTAAACTTGCTTCTTGCATGTAGATTGCCTTAAATTTGCCTTCAAGATGATAAAAATGTTTCTTCCTCATACCCTTCACCTTCTTGTATCCCATCCGGCCCTACCTCCGGTTTTGGCCCTAATAATCCGGTTCGCTGATTCGTTACGATACTTTTTAGACGTATACCGTGCCTCAGCTTTCATTATCTACGGGGTAATATTGGTAGTAAATTGTCAGTGAACGCACGTGAGTGCAGCTTTTTCCTGGGTTTATCTTGTGTTAGTGACTATTTAAGGGTTTCGGCAACCTTTACGGACCGTCACCAGGGTTGCAGCTCACTCCAAATTTTCGCTTTTTCATTACATTGCGTTCTGGCGAAAACTGTCAATTTATTTTGTCGCATTTTGGCAATGGGACATTTTTGGCAGTTTAAAATTCCGCTTAATGACGTAATATATAATCGAAACTAGCTTTCTGGGTGATTTTATCTTTTTACTGCACCCTTGTGTCCTTGAATCGTCATGTTCGCTGCAACTAGGTTAGTTAAGAAAGACAAATACCTGAAATAAAATTATATGAGCAAAGAATGCCAAGCCTGACCGAATTCTGCGTTCGTCCCGTGTCAATACGTTTTTTTTAAATAAATAGAGCTAGAACGTAAACACATTTGTCTGTTTGAAAAGGATGCTGTGAATTTAGGCAAACGAGTCTAACAGGATAAACGCTTTTAAACGTAGAAATTCGTTTCTCGAAAATCTATCGAATGCATCTCCTGGCCCTTCAGTCATCAAGCCTTGATCTCAATGGACAAATAATAACACCTTTATAGCAGTCATTACTCCAGCTCAAACTCTCAAATCGTCTCTACTTTAGTGGGCGGCATAGCACGCGACCCGACCCAGCCGTTCACAAACGACATTCCTCTATGCAACTTATTACACTTCACTAGTCCAGCATCCGGAGCCGAACCTACAGATAAATGAAGTAACAGCACCTAACATGCCTCCTGTCAATTCGAAGGAAAGACATATTCCCAAAATCAGCACAAAACATGACATTTGTCTCAGTATTTACTATCAAATATGGACTGTACAGGAAGCAATACAAGTAACTACCTCCGACTTCGTTTCTGGTGACTTCCATCACCGCTGCTGCCCCCTTCTGCAACGGCGCCTCGCTTTCGCATATTGAGGGGATTTCGAGGATCGTAAAGGTCGTGGCGGTCGGGGTTGTCAATGGCCGGGTCCATGACTTTTCTCGCAGGTGCCGGTTCCTCAGATAACAATTTGCAACGCAGCCTGCGCATAAACACCAACGATGTGAAGGTAAATAACAAGACCGCCTCAATCTTTCCCTCAACACACAAGTGTAACAATGACCAGAGATAGTCAATTCCTTACAAACTAGCCTATTGCCTTCAAAAGACAAGAATGGGTAAAAATGCTATCGAGTACAGTTGGGGCTGGCTTGGCGGAAGAAAAGCATTATGGAGGCAATAGGTCCTAACATTACCATGGCAACACCGATCGTTAACCAAAAAGAATACAAAAGTATCATGCAAATTTCCGGATGAGGAGTAAAAAGTTCTTAAATCAAGCAAGAAAAATGAGTGTTTTCAACAAGACTCTTGACCTTGGAATACTACATCTTCAATTAGTTAGAAGTAATATCATATTACGCACTTCTACATCAATGCAATAGCTCCTACCTAGATCCTAATACATCATACGCCGTTAGCACTAATTGTTTTTCCATATTTTGCTACATCTTTAAGCTGACAGAGAATTGCTTCAGATTTTACCTACTAAATTTGTCAGACCGAACTGTGCTAATTAGTAGGAGTGAGATTCCCAAAAATACTTAGTTGAGTAAAACGGAATATCTTAACAAATAAATTATTCAATAAACCCAAGCGACAATTTTTAGCGAGCCAAAGCATAATCTGTGACAGTAATTAAACAATGTTAGTATGTCCGGTGTAAATTTTCTGGCTCAGTGTATCAAACAAATTTCAATAAATCTGATTCTCGACAAAAACAACGAATTACCATGAAACAGGATCTGCAGATGTGTCATCTCTGGTCACAGACTCGCTAGCGTTGTTATCGCCATTCGACTTTTTCAGGGTATTTAAAAGTCGCGATTCAAAACGACTCAACATGTTCATTGTCTGTTCCTCTCTGTTGTTCCGCTAAAAGTGAACATGCAACACTTATACACCTTAGCGCTTGCAGCGACAACCAACAAAAGGAAGATTTGTGATAATTTAAGGCACTGGAACGGAACTGCATCCAATTATGACATATTTAGTTTTTGTTGGCATTACCCTCTAGAATAAGTAAGATTATCAGAGCCAGGCTATTCCGCTTTCGTGCAAAATAAGATGCAGAAAGCAGAAGTTTGAAACTTGTGTCTCCACTAACTACAAAGAAGACGAACGAGAAGACCATGCATATGTTAAGGCACTGTGATAAATTACCAATATGTTCGTGCCCAGCTGTGTGAAACTAGTGCAAGCAATGATGCAGACTAAGAATGTGTCCCGTATCGAAACAACCAATAAAACAAAAGGGCATTACATCTTTGAGTTTCTTCGACCTTGCTCTATAGCTGGCAACCTCATCGGAAAAGTTATCGACCATAGGCTTGGCGGTCGCAATGATCCCCGCTTCGGCTTTTTTGCGTTGCTCCTCTTCCCAAGCCTCTGCGCGCTTTTCTTCCTCCGCTTTAAGATCCGCCTTCAACTGAGCTTCCCTTCGAGCCTTCTCAGCAGCGGCCTCGCGATCATTCGCCGCCCGCATTGTCCGAGCAATATCACGGCGCACCTTATCTGCCTCTGCCCGGAGATCATCCCTGAATACGAAGCAAAGGAATAATCGAGGTTGCGGGCTAGAAAGCTTGCTTATGAGACATGGAGCACTTTCTTAATAATGTCCCAATGTTTTACCAAAACTTATGGACACAAGTGTGGACGTGAAATATTGGCAGCATTGTATGGTACGCAAAACGCAGGAGTTAAGAACTACGTGGAAGTTCGGTCGTGTCAACAACAGGTAATTGTGTCAATGGTATCAATCACACCAATAATTACATCCAAATAGTTCTGGTATTAAAGTCAAGAGACGGACTATAATCGAGGAGAATGGACCCGCTTCCGAATCAACATAGGATTCCCAAAATCTATTTACAGTTGCTTATAATCTAACCGCTAGCCATGTTGCCACAAATGCGACTGTTGGATAAGGAGGAAGTAACACGTGTCATTTTAAATTTTGAAACTTTAAAATATCCCAACTCAAGCATTGTGTCTCTAAAAAGACCGAATTCAGCAACATTAATTTCAAACAGCTGTAACAATGAAAGTACAAATGATAGAGTTTAAAAAAATGACAAGATCAAAATTTGATGTTTAAAAATTAGTTTTGAAAAAGAAACCTACATTCTTTTCTGTTTTTGTTTCCTTTCTTCTTCGGTCTCAAGACGAGAAGCCAGTTCCCGGCGACGTCTACGTTCCTCCGCCTCTGCTTCTAATAGAGCAGCCGTTTCAGCTGCTGCCTGAGCATCCGCTTCAGAAATCAAAACTGTTTCTTTCGAAAGCCTCGCGTCGTTCGCAAGGTCATGGGCGCTTTTACCACGGGAACGAAGTTTCTAACAATGAACACGTATGATATAAAAAGCTGTTTCCACCACACGTAAAGTCAATCCGCAAATGTGCTCGAATAAATAAAACTAGACCTAAGGCAGTATGCAGCACCGCAGCAGTCGTCTTTCAGCTTACAGGTTCATACTTAAATTTAAAGCACTTTTAACAGCTACAAAACACAGGAATATGAAAACCACCAAGCTGATAAAATAACAGGTTAAATAAGTGTTTTTTTTTGTTATTAACACTACCTGCTCAACTTCAGAAATAACCTGTTCCTCTTCTTCAGCTTCGCTACCGAAGGACAATAGGGAGAAATTTCTAGAAAGCAATCAATACTCAATGGCAAAATTTGAAAAAATATCGCCTTTTTACAAAATAGACAATCAAGCGTACTTCGTTGCCTTGGCTGTCGGCTGTACATCTGTTTCAGTCTCCTCTTTTGACTTTTTAGACCTCAGGCGACGAGGAACAATGTCATCATAAGGGTTCAGAACAACCTACATTGAATGTAAGCAAATAGCATACGGAAAAAGTACCATCGTTTTGAGTATTCTGTGCAAACGAGTTGGCCGGTCACCTTTTATAACCTCAACATCCGCTAGACGGAGCATGTTGAAGAGAGTGTTCCCAACGACGCGACCAAATAGTGTGTGCTTGCCATCCAATTCAAGGGCTTCGCCAAGAGTAAAGAAAAACTGACTTCCGTTAGAGTTGGGTTCAGGACAGGCCATTCCGAGAAGACCTCGTCGATTAAACGAAAGACGAGAATGAGACTCAGTCTAAAGACTAGTGATCTAAGTTTTGGACAACTACCTTAAATGGCGCCCCATAGATACTTTCTCCTCCTTCACCTGTTCCCGAGGGATCGCCACCTTGAACTATAAAGCCTTTTACAAGCCGATGAAATGCTGTATCGTCGTAATAGCCCTCCATGCACAACTGAACGAAATTTCTACAAGCAAGTGGTGTTTCCTTGGACCATAGCTCAATCTCGATATCACCAACGGTGGTGGTAAGAATAACCTTTCCATTTGTGGCCGGTTCTGATATATATATGTTGCTCATTAGTGTAACCGAATCTAGGGAGAATCACAAGACTTAAACCAATAGGCTGTAGAGTTGTGGTGTGGCGTCGAATCAGGGTGCAGACATATTGGACCACCTGGCCCCAGCCAATCCTGTGTCTCTCTGTGTTCCAATGGTATGCGAGAAAGATAAGTAGCCAACCAGAGAAAGACACGACTGAGGTGCAGTATATAATGAGTGGCGTGGCCAGCGTGGCCGATTCGGATAGAAAGCGCCTGACGTGTGGCTCTGGCTTATGATTGGTCAATAATGCCTGTTCTGTTGTACCGATCTTATTCCTATTAGGGCTCGGGCATTCTACAGAGGTGACGTCTGAGGGCGCAGACATATTATACCACGCTGGCCTCAGCCAAT